CCAAACTTAGTTTGAATTTTAATAGTGGGCCACAACTTTGCAAATAACTTTACTGCAAAACGATTGTAGCGATTGGACCAATGCTCAAGCCCAAACCGGCCCAGACCGTCTAAGGCCGCCAAGTCCAAGTCCAAGTCATGTGTTTGAGCCAGCTAAGCTCAGTCGACCTACCGGCGAGCTTCGCGCACGCTCGTGTGGCCAAAGTGAGTAACAATACTTGGTGCATAACTTTGTTGTAGGTGTGACCTATCCAACTCTCTTTATTATAACAAAGAGAGTTATATCCTTATATTAGAGTCCAATGTGGGATAGGTCTCTTGAGCTTTCGAATCATACAACCAACGTTCTACATGTCCATTAATGACTAGCTTTAATCCTTTATTTCTTACTCACCAAAAATCAACATATCACGAGTATCTACTTGAAACGTAGAATTTTTTTATATGGTTTAATTCAACCATAACTAAATAGTTATCCATAAAAAAACCAGTCAAAATCGGATCAAATCTAATTTTATTTAATTGATTTTCTAACATCAAGTTGTTAATTTTCCAAGCCAAAGGAAATATAGAATGAAATATACAAAGGAAGATAGATGAAAGGATTGATATAGTGACAAATAACATAAATTAAAAAAATTCGATAGTTTATTACAATTATAACCAAATGCTATAAAATCACATGCGAGGGTGTATAAACCACAAACAATATTGTAATCGTGCTAAACGAATCAAGTTTGGTCATTTTGAGCTCGTGTTCGTTTATGCTTGAACATTGTTTGTATTCGTCATTTTTTATTCGAGCATAAATTAATTTATGTTCGGGACGGTCCTGGATTTGACTTGACCGGATACCCATCCCACTTTTATGAATCGGTCCGGGATGAGACACCTTCCCCACCCATGTAATACATGGGTGTTGTACTAGTTACTTTTATTTGTAACCCAAAGGAAATTTCCCTCACTGAACAGGAATCAAATTTCCTCACATTAAGTTTGCAAACTCACACATGCTATTTTTCAACACCACTCAGCTATGCCTCACGGTGTTTCTTTTCTATGAACGACAAACTAATTAACACGAGGAAATTTTTAAGATTTGTAAATTGAGTGTTAAATTCCAACGAGAAATATACTGGAATGGAAATGATAATTTCAGTTCTTACAATATAAATTTGAATCTAAAAATTACAATAGAACATTAAATAGAAAAAATATAGCGTAGACGGAAAAATCTCTTTCTCCAAGACAAATACGCTCTGTGTAGTACTGACGTGTCTGTCCATCTTGTCCCTAAAAGATACCGTCAATCGCCTCAGAGGTTGTAGCACACCGGTATTCAAAGCTCCGGCGACCTAGAATAGAGATCAAAAACTGAGCACTATGTATAATGTGCAATGTTATCATATGTTCAGTGTCTTTGTTGCAATCTAAAAGATCCTATATATTTGTGGAGTTCTAACTCAGGAAGGGGAAACCATGAGTCGGTTGCCATTTAAGGCTGGTAACAACCCACCGATTGTTGTTGTAAAGGGCATAATAATGATCCACGTGAGTTGGGTCAAAACTCGAGTCCAAACCAAACTTAGTTTGAATTTTAATAGTAGTGGGCCACAACTTTGCAAATAACTTTATTGCAAAAAGATTGTAGGGATTGGATCAATGCTCAAGCCCAAACCGGCCCAGACCGTCTAAGGCCGCAAGTCCAAGTCCAAGTCATGTGCCTGAGCCAGCTAAGCTCAATCGACCTACCGGCGAGCTTCGCGCACGCTTGTGTGGCCGAAGCGAGTAACAATACTTGGTGCATATCTTTGTTGTAGGTGTGACCTATCAGCTTTGTTGTAGGTGTGACCTATCAAACTCTCTTTATCATAACAAAGAGAGTTATGCTTATATTAGAGTCCAATGTGGGATAGGTCTCTTGAGCTTTCGAATCATACAACCAACGTTCTGCATGTCCATTAATGACTAGTTTTAATCCTTATTTACACTCACAAAAAATCAGCATACCACGAGTATCTACTTGAAACGTAGAATTTTTTTATATGGTTTAATTCAACCATAACTTAATAATTATCTATAAAAAATCAATCAAAATCGGATAAAATCTAATTTTACTTAATTGATTTTCTATCATCAAGTTGTTAATTTCCAAGACAAAGGAAATATAGAGTGAAATATATAAAGGAAGATAGATGAAAGGATTGATTATAGTGACAAATAACATAAATTAAAAAACAAATGATAACAAACTAAGTAGTAATATAGAATGAAAAAATACAAAGGAAGATAGATGAAAGGATTGATTATAGTGACAAATAACATACATTAAAAAAATTCGATAGTTTATTACAATTATAACCAAATGCTATAAAATCACATGCGAGGGTGTATAAACCACAAACAATATTGTAATCGTGCTAAACGAATCGAGTTTGGTCATTTTGAGCTCGTGTTCGTTTATGTTTGAACATCGTTTGTATTCGTCATTTTTTATTCGAGCATAAATTAATTTATGTTCAATTTGTTTATTTAATTATTAGTTAAAATTCGAGTTTGTTCGTATGTAAATACTTTAGTAAAATTGTTTGATTAACTCAAAGTCAGTCCATAATAAATAGTTCGAGCATAAAAATGAAAAGAAAAAATTATTGAATAATGCTCGCAAAAATTACCAAACATTTACAAACAAGCATGTATTTGTCCGATTAACAAACAAACCTATTTTTTAGGTCTGCTCGATTAATTAACTATCCACACACTTTGGGTTGGGTTACTACTCTAGCCACAAACTAAATAATATTTCAAAGGCGAGGGTGTGAACTGTGAACTAAACTCACAGGTGTCCTAGTTGTACCCGTTTGAGAATTTTCATTAGCCAATCTAAAAATTTAGTAAAAATGAAAATACAAGTTTTCCCTGTGGCCATAATTTATTTTATTTTCTCAAAACTCCTAAAAATTTTGGTCCATGTATTTCGAGAGTTCGACTCAATCAACTAGTTGTCGATTTGTTTTATTGTCACAGACACATAACCCAAACCAAAATAAAAAAATCGAACTCAATCATGCAATTCGGTATGGTACGGTTCAATTTTTTCAGTCTGAAAATTTTTCCGGTTTCGGCTTCTTCTTATATTGTGGTGGGATTCTTATTATTTTTCATAGGTTTGGCTATCGGTTTTTCTCTGTTCAGTGCGCGATTTTGCACCACAATATTAAATATAAATGCAGAGAAAAATCGAGGCACAATCCAAAATGGAGTAGCATCGTGCATTTCGCTATGGTGTGGTTCAATTTTAATTTTAGCATAAAATATATTCAGTTTGATTTTTTTATGGTGCGGTGATTCAAATATTTATTTTTTACGCCCAATATATTGATTTTTACAATTCGGTCCAGTTTTGCATAAAACAATCCGATATTCATTTTATAATACCCAACGAGTGTGTTGATCCAAT